ATAAATAATTAACATAATTTAAAAAAAATTTATTTCAAATAACTTCCAAATCATAACCAAATGCTTTTTACCGATTTCGCTTTAATAATATATATTTTTTCTAACCCTCTCCGAATATTTTTTATTGTCAAATAAGCCCTAAAAAGTTCTTTTGTACCTTGTCGAACCGTTTCATTTTTACCACCATTTTTATAGTCACTTTACTTCCACAAAAATAATTATAAAAAAATAAAACGATTCTGAACTTTATTATATAATTTTCCATGCAAATTAAATGACCTTTCGAAATCGTTGCCGAACTCACCCACAATAGTTTTTACTACTTATGTATATTGTGTCTTCACCGCTCCGCCTCTCTATGACCACTCAGCACTCTTGCTAAGCGACCACTACACACCCAACTTGGCAGGCTGTCCTTCCATGCCCACGCACCTTTTCGGCTCACCACTGCACTTTGGTCATTAAAGCTGGAATTTACGATGGCAATGGAGCCTGTGATGTTTCTGCAGATATAAAACTACAATTCGTTTGTTGTTGTCGTTCGTTTTCTTGTGATTTTCCTCAGCACCTATTGCCGTTTTCCTGGCAGCAGTTTTATGCGTTGTAGTTTTATAGCGTGGGCGTTGTAAAGGCCAAATCTAACGGTGGTATTTGCCTGGCAGCAAGATTTAAGTGGAAAAATGCCAGTGAATTCGCGATGGAAAGGTGATTGTAAGCGGTCTCAAAAATTTAGAGGAATTTATTATAACTAAGAATAATAAAATACCGAAATATGTATATGTAAGTAAAAGCTTTGAGTGTGTTGCTATAAAAGTAATTAATTTAAAAGTAATTTTAAGTGAGTATTATAATTTTGTTTCCCGAAAACTTTCTTATTATTTCATTCAATACAAGATTTTCAAAATTGCATAAATAAATTTTTTTTCAAGAGCTTTTCCGTTATAACATTTAACCTTTAATAAATAATTTTTTCCTGCAACATTTGAAAACCAAAATTACTTTTACCTTTACATCAACCAAAATGTCAAAAATTTGATGAAATTTCCAAAAGCTCTCTTACTATTTGGTTTATTGAAGCTTCAAGCTCAAAACCTTGACAAACTTCACGCAAAAGCTGAAAACTTTATTGTTAGATGATCAGTTTTTTATACAGTTCAAACTTTTTTCGAAAGCTCTGAATGACAAATTTTTTGAATAGATTAATAAAATCTAGAATCGTACTATATTCTTTGTGAAGCTTTTTAAGCACAGAATTTTCTGACACTAGATTTAAAAGCTCTAAAATTTAATGCTGGATTGTCATTACTACAAAACTTTCAAACTCTTTCAAAAGCTCTAAAATTCTTATAGTATAGGTTTATAAAATTTGGAAAGAAAAAAAAACCGAAGAACTATTTACTTCAAAATAGTTCTGGAAAATTTGTGAAAGTTTATACAAAAAGCTTTCAGGCTTTTAAAAAGCTTTTTACCATTTAGATTTGCAAAGCCTGGAGCTTTGAAGTACGCAAATTTGACTGAACTATTTTTCCAAACTCAATCACAATTTGCTTACAATTCATATTGTTTTAAAAAACCTCTGAAGCTTTTAACAAAGGTTTGTGCTAAAAAATTTGTACTTTTAAGCCCAGCCATAATGCCAAAATGGTTTAACAAAAATATATATAATTTCCAATTGTTCTACGAAAGCACTAAACCGCCCTCGGTCGGTGATTATATAGCATCTACTTGACATTACTTTGCACTGTTGGTATAATTTTCCATAGGCAGCCGCGTTCCGTACCCATTTACCACACTGGCTTCATGTTACACTCGCTGTTCGCATCAATTCCGAAACAAATTGTTACAATATGCCACATAATGTTGCAGACTCTGCAGCCAATTGGCTACGTTACTTTATACCGCTGCTCAATCAGCAGTTCTTTCCACACATTGACTTGGGTATGTATGTGTGTGCATAACCTCAGCCTCGGTGGCAATCGAGAAGCATCCGTTGTGTCGTGGCCTCACTTTCTTGCCGTTTCGTTTGCGGTTCTTTGAGTTCTATGTGCCGTTATTTGGCATAACTTTACCGCAACATTGTCATTGCATGCGGAAAGCGTGTGGCATGGCGAGCAGTTGCACATCGTTTGGAAAATCTAAATCAAGTTGGCAATCAAACGGACCTGAAATGTAATAAAAGCGTAGAAACAAAAAGCGACCACCAGTGATAATTTCTTGGCTGTGATTTTGTTACTCTTTTTCGTTGACTTTTTTATACTTCTGCGTTGTCTAAGGCAATGATGATGAGCGCTGTGAAGCAGGCAAAAAAAAAAAAAACGATGGTATTAAATAAAGACATTAATTCGCAAGTGAAGTGAAGAGAAATGAAGAGTGTAAGGGGTATAAATTTTTTTGTTATAGTTATTTAAAAGAACTGTTACAAAGAGAACTAGAACAAAAAATTAATATGCACCTATGATACAATTTTTAAGTTTCATTATAATTTAATTTTATAAAATCCAAAAAATTAAAAACAAAAATAAATAAAATT